TTATGGCTGCGCAGTTAGATTCATTCACTGGTTGGGAAAAGGTCACAAGTAGAATGCTACATGTTGCTAAGATCTATCTGAATTTTCACATGCAATACAATGGAGAAAACTGGTCCAGAAGGGTTCCAGCCCAATGTTGCATGAAAGTCTTCTTTTGAGGAAAAAGCATTCTACAAAAGCATTCTACAAGGATTCGGTTTTCTGAGGAGACACAAAGAACAAACTTTACTCATGAGAAGTTCTGACAAGTGTAAACCTCTTGTCAGGTCTTCATACCTTCCAGATAATGTAAGCAGGCACTCCTCACTTCCTCCCTAAAGAGAAATCTGTCAACTATTTCTATGAGTTAATAATATTTCAAATTAAAAGTCTTTTTATAACTTCAGAAAATGCCCAGAAACCTTGCATATGATTTCTGGCAAATCTCAAACACAAATGAGAGCACTGCATTCACATAAGTAATATTGTAGCTAGTGATGGTTGAAAACAATGAAAACCTATTCACAAAATACTTTAAATGTCAAGGTGACTTGAATTTCATGATATTCAGCTTTTTCTTAATTTTTTGAACACTTTATAAAGTTTTTACAGAAGTTACAAAGGTTTTACATTTCTTCAAACCTGTTTTTATTACCAACTGCAATAAAGACAATCAAAAGAACAGAAGTTCCATTTTAATTTTAATTTCTTTTTTTTTCTTTTGCCATTATGTGTCTTTTAAAATGTTCTCCACAGTGACAGAAATATGGAAAGTGACTTTTTTTTCCCTCCTTTTTTCATATTTTGATAGTCCATATTCATCCAGTCACAAGGTATTTCATAGCAGTTACAGACTGGCAAACAAAAAAAAAAGGAAGGGAAAAATGAAATTTAACAAGAAAAAAGGAAAAGGCTTTTAGTCTGCATTTTTTTATGTTCAATTCATAAAAGGAAAGAAAAAGGGAAAGACATGAAAACACCAAACCCTTGACATTTGATTTTGAACATTTTCAGCACCAATGAATGTGTGGGATATTAAAAGCAAAACCAAATAAATCCTGAAAACATTTGATGTGCTTCCTCAGTAACAAAAGGCAAATGGAACCAGGATACTGGCAGACTTGCATTCAAACATGTGCGTAATGGTAAATCAGCTCTTGAGTGGAGTATATTTTCTCCATGAATAGGAGCTGGTAGTCATACCTCTGTTTGCTTCAAGCTTTCCATGGGAGGTATCAGTCTCATGCAAGGCAATATCATCTCACTTTGGTTACTATGGAAACCAGTTGTGCATGGCTGCAACTGTAGGCACTGGGTCCAACCAGGCTTTTTTATCTTTTTCCATTTGGGCTGCCTTAATGATCTCGTAATATATGACATGTTGCATAAAACAGTGTTCTTTATTCTCAAAGAGGCAGTGCACTTTGCAGATTTTTGTGTTTTAGAAATGGCTTTCCAGTTGGTACCCAGTCCTTCTTCTGTGTGGAGTTTTGAGTGCCTATTATTGCTTGGATGACCTGATTGAGAAGCAACAAATGTTGGTTCCCCCCAAATATTACTATTTAAATGTTGCCACTTTACATGCAGTCAGGGTTTTTCTTGGAAAGTGGAAAAAGTGTGGGTGAATTCTCTTTGACTTGGGAAAGATGTACTGCCAAACCAGCAGGTAGGATTTGGGCCAGTGAAAGGAGAAGTGATACCACTGACAGCCACTTACACTTTATCCAGATTTGCTGGCCCAATTGGGTCACACACCAGCTTCCACCCAGTGGAGGTATCAAGAAGGTGTGTAGTGATGGAGAAGCTTAATGTAAAAGCGGAGAAGAGGAAACTGACAAAAACCACTGTTTTTTAGAATGGTTTTAAAGTAATATCTTATGTAATGTGTGCCTTAATCTAACACGGCCTTTAAAAGTTCAAAACTCTCAAACCTTCTTCTGAATGCTTTAATTTCACCATCTACCTCTTCATCTGTACATGGGTTACATGGGAAGTAGCAGCTGTTTTACAGAGGCAGCTTTGGGGTTTTTCTGTGCCCCTGGGACACAGAGCAGTTCCTGAGGGTATAGCTTTGAGATCCTGTCTCTTGTTTTAGGAGGCCTGTATGAAGCTTAGAAGATTGTCTGATCTAGTGAAAGGTTTTCTGTCTTTGACTAGCAGGGGACTAGAACTAGATAATCTAGAAGGTTCCTTCCAACCCAAACCATTATGTGACTATGATTCTAAGATGGGCTTGTGTAGCTATACCTGAATGCCATGGTCACCTCTAGACTTTGTCTTGTTCGCACAAGCCTGAACAGACTAGCTGGTCATCTTGATATGAATAGTTGCCCCTTGCAGCTCAGCTGTACTCCCTGGTCAATCTGTATGACAGCCTGTGCCATCCAAAATGAGTTTAGTCAGCTGCCTACACTGCACAAACACAACATTGACTTGATGGCTCTCTGGTCCCACTCCTGGAGCCAGATGGAATGAGCCTCTTTGACCTTCTGGGCACATCAGAGCTGTTCAATGTTAGTTATAGCATTCTAGAGCAGTGAATGCTAAAAAACAACAACAAAAAAAGTATACTCTTGACATTTTATTAACTTGAAGGATTATACTTTCAGCAACATTCCAGAAAATAGTTTATCTATGGTGTATTACCTGTTACACTCACATTTGAATTTCAATACTCATCAGTTCATAAGCAGAAACAACTTCAGAGAAAACAGGGACAGCATTTATCATGTTGTGCTGTTTACCACTGTAAAGAAAACAGAGGAGCATGCCTATTCTGTCATACCTATATTCTCTTTGTCACATTACAGTCTCCTGATGGATAGCTTTGCTCATTGCTTTTTGAAGCTTTTGTCCACACACTCAGGTAAAATGACATATCACAAAGGCAATGCTACTGAGGGTGCCAGTTAGTCTTTTGGTTACTTCAGAGACCAATTCTGTTTTTCTTGTCCTTCACCTTACATTTTTGAGCAGAAGCTTTCTTTTCCTGAGTGCCTATGAATTGCATAGCAAAAAGAGGGTAAGGGGTTTTAGATAGCTCTGACAATATTGATGACTACCACTGCAATTTCCTCTTCCATGTTGCTGAGTGTGGTCTATTTCCCCCAAGGACACTGAGACCTCTCACCTGGGGACTGGCTCCCAGTCAGTGTTTAGTGTTGGTGCTTCTGATTCCATGTTGAACTGGTGGTCAAGTATGATCTCTGGCCCATTTGTTCTGCCAGGAATACAGTGTTGTAGAATAAGCTAAAAGGAAGTTATGTTGTAACTAATTTCTTACTATTTCATTTAGCCTTATGGACACAGGAATGGGCAAAAAGGAGAAGAGGCAGGCTGACATGCTTTTGTTCACAAAGCTTGCAAGCTAAAAAACAGTAGTTCTTACTCCTCACAGTATTTTCTGATATGTTTCCTCATGCTTTTCTGATATTTTTTTTCTGTATTGTGAAACAAATCAGTGTAGCTTCCGTGTGTGTACAGATGTGAGGGGGAATTCTGTTGCTCCCTTCCCCAGCTCTCTGATACAGAAGACAGAAATCAGGGAAAAAAGCATTCCAAGAGAATAAGTGAATGGCAGCAAAACCAACACAGCAGGAGGGCTGGGGGGTAGCAGCAGGTGGAACAGGAGAAAGGGGAGACACAGACATCAGAGAAGGAAGACTCACATTCAGGAGCAGCTTTGAAAGAAGGATTTTGTTAAGATTTAACAAGTTAATCACTGCATGCTAATTACTGTTAATGAAAAGATTAAAAATAATAAAAGCAATTTATCTCATTCCAAAATAATTAGCCTTAATAACTTGTTTGTGCAGCATATAGAAAGAGATTTTGATGGGAATCCGCCCAACATCTGTGTATGCATAGTGTATATACCAGCAATATGTTCTTGTAAAATGTCTGACAGATGTGGGATCATCAGCTTTGCTGAGACTTTAACAGGGTTCCAGGGATCTGAGCACCAAATTATTCTGGTTTCCTGTCAGATTTGCAGGTGCTCATGTTTCTGAAAATGAGGATCATCTCTCTGTATTCTCCCTTATGTATGTATGTTGCATTAGTCTTGCTCTATGTCTTGGGAAACCAAAGAGACCTTAAGGGACTTCATCAGGATGATTACAGAATCATTGCTGGGTTTGGGATCTGCCTTCCTGGCACCTGTGGCAAGATTTATGCAGATTTCCAATCCTGCATGGCTCATGCATACCACAAGTTTGAGCAATAACATTCTTCTGATAATGCTGATAAGTGGCATCAATTCCCTTTGTTATTGTTGTGAAGTGATTTAGCTATTGTGTAATTCAGTTTCTTTACACACAAGGTAAAGTTAATGTAGCACTTACTGCCTCTTGTATTGAGTCATTACAGTAGTCAGTCAGATCACTGGTAAGGCAAGCTGAGGGGTAAAAGTGTGAAATGGCAGGGATTTCTCATCCAGGTTTCTTAAGTGAAGTCGTGCTGGGTAAAAAAGGGCAAAATATTATTAACATCATTACTGCCCTTAAAACACTGAATGAATGATAAAGGTGTTAAGGAGGATAATGAGTCTAGGTGAGTATCACCTGCGGAGATTCCTTATTGAATAGCTCTGCCTAAACCATCCATTTGTTAATGGCTCTGACTTGCACATTTGTTGCCACCCTGGCTACTGCTGGAGAATTGGGCAGTCCAAGTAATCCGAACAAGCAGTGCTGGCTACCACTTTGACTATTCCTCTGCATTTAGGTCTTCTACACATGAAAGGAGTGCAGCCTTCTTCCAGCTGTCCTCCTTCAAGTGCAAATGTCTCCAATGACAGCAGTGTAAGGCACCCTCCACAGCAAGTTGGGTACATACCTTTCTGGTTTCTGCAGGCTGTGCTGAGCAAGCTGCAGCAGCAGCATGTGGTTAAGCTGATGCAGGGCATAGTCTTTGTCCTAAGGAGCCTTATCTGAGTTGCTCTCTTGCAAGTTGTTTTTAGGTGGAGATATCATCTGCTGCACCTGGATAAGTGGGGTTGAAGCCTCTTAAATGTTGATTAGGGAGGTTAGCAGGAGTGAGCAGAATGAAGAGGGTTAGGGCTGTGATGGTTTTACCCTCTTTGTGGTGCTATGAGGGTGCCTACCTTAGGTCTTTTGCTCGATTTCTGCTGGGATTCCTAGGTTTCATCTTCTGGGGTACTGCTGCAGCTCAGATGTTTGGTGGAGTTTCAGTGATCCTGATGATCAAGAACTACAGATGTTTATTTCAGGAGTCTTACTTGTCTCTCCCTGGTTGGTTGGCTCTTGCAACTGCACTTACATTGCTACCTACTGGAGTTTTGGCTGTCTCTATTTCTGTTAAGTGTTCCCGCCATCAGCAAGGGACTCTCATGTACTTGCTGCTGCTCCTTCTTTGCTTAGAAATGTCTTCAGCAGCTCTAGCACATCCCTACTGTGTTAGGATGGCGTCTCAGCTGGAAAGTGCTATGGGTTACCTTGTTCACCAGCACAACTGGACATGCTCCCAGGATCCTGGAAACAGTGCTGTGGATGTGATACAGAGAGAGCTGCAGTGTTGTGGGGTCCACAACTACACAGACTGGCTAAAGGCATCATCCTTTTTGTATCATCCAGCTTGTGTCCCTGAAAGCTGCTGTAAGGAGAAGTATTCTCATTGCAGGGGAGACTTAGGCTATGTGGAGCAGCTTTCTGAGGAAGGCTGTCTAGAGAAGCTGGAAGACCAATTGTGTTTTTCCATGATGTACATTTTTTGGTGTTGTACTGTGCTAAGCATCTTGGAGCTCTTGGCTGCTGTCAGCAATGGCATCCTCATGAGACGTCAGCCATTCCATGAACTTTGTATTCTGGACTCGTATACCTTCTTACAGGACTATAGGTACTAACTGCTTTGCTGGACCTGCTACATGTTTCCTTGATTTTTTACTACTTCATTGTTGCATTGGAACAAAATTTAAAAAAAATCCCATAAATAATAACTGTAAATCAAACTAGTTGATCACTGCTGAGTTTTTTTTCTTTAGCGTCATGATCTTAGATCAGTTGTCGCACAGATTTTTCTTTTCACTAAGCATTCTGTATCTGAAAATCTTCTGGGGATGAGTCTTCCAACAGGCACAGATGCAAAACCACTGTATGTGAAGGGAGGCAGTAAGAAAAGGCGTGTCTGGCTCAGGGGCAACTTGTTGTGAGGTCATGAGCTGTGCTTTTGGACTGAATCTTAACTGTACTAGAATCTTGGAGAGCAATTAATGTACAGATTCTTCTACTTCCAAGTTTGTGTTGGAAGCTTTGGTTTTTCTATAAGAAGCCCTTTAGATTTTTAGACCTTTAGATTAATATTTATTTTTCTTTTTTCCTGCTGAAATGCTCATTTAAATAACTGATTCTTCAATGAAAATCTATGTCAGTTTTTGAAGTGGCATGAAGGGTACAATCTAAGTAGGTTTGACAGCAGCAGAGTAAGTAATATGATAATGAGCAGCAGGAGGTAAAGCAGTCTTGGGAGATGCACAGGAACAATTCACAAATAATAGAGCAAGAAAGTCTGTCTGTATTCATTCATTTATTTCATGACAGAGCAAGGAATGAGTCAATTATTTTTTGCCAGAAAAGTAATGTGGGGCCACATGTGCTCTTGAATTATACTAAAAATACACTTCTTTTTCTTAAGAAAGTGCCTGCCCTTCTTACTAAATCCCCTTGTTGCCTATTTTCTGTCAGTCTCTCTCCAGTCTGCATGTGCTGAAAGGGACTAAGTTAGCATGTGGAGTACTCATATGCTTGTTTATTGGTGTTTAGAGATGTGCTGGCAAAGGCTCTGTCCTACCTGCGTTGGACTGCACAGTGTGTGCTTGTATATATGTGTCTGTTTGGAAAGTGTCTTAAGCCTCTCTGCTGATCTGGGAATGGGCACTCCAGCAGCTTTATCCTTTGGTAAGTATGTGTAGGAGATCTTGAGGGCCTACAGCTGCACCACATTAGGTTTTACTGGACTGGAAACAAGGAAAAGGTCTGGGTCCTTTTCCTGCTGGACCTGGCAACTCCCTTAGTGCTTGAAGTAATAGTCAGTTCAATCATTATTGCTCTAAGTTTTTCACCAAACTTCAGGTAACTTAGTGGAAATTTCAGACCTAAATCACCAGAAACTGATTTTCATGAGTGGAAAAGAGAAAAAAACCAGAGAACATTAGGTCAGTTCTTGAATGCTAGTTATTAGCCGTGTGAAACAACAAACATGAAATATACTGCAAATCTTCTCCAGTAAAAAAAAGGCAAAACAACAACAAACCAAACCAACCAAAAAACCCCACCAAAATCCAAACACCTCCTTTCAAACAATTAAGGAATTTTTTAGATAAAGGAAAATAACTAATTCATTAGACAGAGTAGCTCTTCAATAAAGAGGGAATGACATGGGATGGGTGTGGCAATGAATGATGTTTGTCTGGTTAAGCAGCACAATAGGAACTTTGTGGTACCCTGGCACATAGATGCTTTGCAATGCAAATTACTGTTATGACATTAAAAAGATGCGATGAAAATGAAGTGACAATAATAGGCCCAGGGAAAAAGATTTTATTGGAGAAAGTGGAAGATGGAGTAGGTAAAGTACCTTTTAACAATTTGCCTTTATTAAGGAGGTTATTATTATTCTCAAATCTTATACCTTACAACTTACTTCACAGTTTCTGAGCCAGAGTCTCTTAGAAGGGAATGCCCATATTTTTCATCAATATGCAGAAAGTAATAATTTCAAGGTGATTAAAAAGAGTTACTTATGTGGATACCTTCATCTATTGTGTCTGCTAAAAGTTAAGGTCATTCATGATTCCCTCTATTCTTACTGTACTAAGAAAATGAAAATATAAATATGAAATTGACTGGACATTGAGTATATGAAATAGCTTTTAGTAGTTATTTTTTCTCTTGCATATTTTTCCCTGTAGAAGAGCAGATAGTAAACCCAGTAGTAAGTGTGAGGATGCATGAGACAGACATAATCCAGCTAAAAATGGTTGATAGTAGAGTAGAAGACAAAACAATAGATTTATTACTCATTTGATGTTTTGCAGTTTGATTCTGAATACTTACTTTGGGACAGGAATAACTTCTTTTGAAAAAAAAATGGTGCTATTTCTAAGCAAGTGCACTTAGTTTCTGTATTGTAAGATACATAAATCCTTGGGTGCTATTGCATTCTATGCATTTTGTATTAATTCTGAAAGGATCACCAGCTGTTTTTCATAAACTAAAAAAATTAGCAGCTGTATAGGAAGGCAGCAAATGACTTACAGTTAGCATTTCTGAAAATTGTGTTTATTTAGATTTGAAGGGGAAAAACTGATATCCAGTGCAAAGCTGGAAATGTGTTCTGTGATTACCCTTTTACAGAGCTTTTATATATATATATATCCCATATATTCCATACATGAGCTGGTGACTATACTGTGATATCTTTTGTAGAAGGCAACAGTCAGAAAGTTAGAATTGTTTCTGAAATGTAAAATACATTTTTATTTTTTCAGCTTTTTCTTATCTGTCTTTCTGTCTTTCCCTCTTTCTAACTTTTTTTCCAAGAACTCTGTATTTTTTCCCTTATTCCTTTATTGTGAATGCTGGCTTGATTTAACTCTGAGTAGAACATAATTCAGCTTCTGAATTATGAGTTGTTCTTCATCAAATCTCTTGTCTTTTCAGTTCAAAATTAAATTCTGTCTCACAAACAGAAAGCAGAAAATCTAGGCTTTGCTAGGAGGTGATTGAAGACTCAGTCCCTGCCTATCTTACATGGATATTGTTAAATCAGTTAAAATTACTCTTTAATTGAAATTATGGCTTTTGTAGTCTGTTGTAGAATTGCACTATGTAGAGTAGCAGGAGGTTGTAGAGTTGTACACGATGTATTCAATACAAACACGTTGTATTTTCTTGAAAAATTCGGCTTGCACATCTAGGTTAACCTCCTTCTTACAAGGTGGAATTACACAGGGCAATAAAGAAGCTGAGAGAAGAAAGGAAATCTAACTCTAAACTATCACAGTATCATCCTGGAAGATGATGCAAATAATTTTTGACCTAAGAAGTACAGAGAATGAGCTGAACTACTTATTCAATTATGTCAAATGGTCAGCATTCATTTATTAAATAATATAAAGTGAAATTCAATTAGAGCAAGTAAGTGATTGCATTATGTAAAGCAATTTTTAAAATTGGGTAATATGATAATAATTTATTACATTAGGTTCAGAATATTGGATATTGGTACTTTAATTGAATTAATGGAAATGCTTATGATGGACTAGTTAAAAGAGTTTGCAAGTGAAACCACTCCTCCTTGTATTTCTTTTTTAGTATTGAATGTGCTGCTATTGCTTTCAAAGCAAAGGCTCAGATTTTACTGTGGTATTGTTCTTATAAGTAAATTCTTGTAAACAGTACTTGTAAAGCTAATTAATAAGATGTCCAAAACATGGGGGAAAGGATCACCAATTAAACGTCTTAACAGAGGGAAAAATTGAGTGCTAAAATTGCAATCTTATAGGAAACATACTAACATATTATGAAAATAAAATATCTCAGTATCTTTCTACAAGACTGGTTTTTCTATTTTTCAGACAAACAGGATGAAACAATCAGATTTGAAGATTTTATTGAGACTTTTCTGGAGTGGGAGAATGTGATTTCAACCTCTGTGTGCTGACAAGAGGGTCACACTTTTTCATACTATTTTGTTAGAGCATTTTCCTGTGATTATACTTGACTAAGGCAAAAAACGGCCTCATTATATCTCTTAAAGTGTCCTCTTTTGCTACTCAGCCATTCTTGTTGTAGAACTGGTTTGGAGGCATTAAAAAATGTTAGAAATATGATCTATTATTAAATGGTCTTTTTTTTCCCACTGTACTTAGTAAAAGAATATTTGTCTAAGGACTCAAATACCAATTTTTTAAATTCAGGTATTCTTGCAGCCAGAACTTTTTAATGTCTCAAGGAATGTGTGCTTACTGTATGAAGCAGGTGCAAAATCCTGAGGAGCCTATGGAATTCTAAAATGAATCTAAGTGTGGAACTTTATGCTGATTACTTGCAGAGCTGTGTGGCAGAAAATAGCATTCCAAATTTTAGGCAAGAGTTATTGCACAAGTGGCTCAAAACCATGTGCAAGTAGAAAAGATAATATTTTAGGACATCTGGAAGTGTTATTTATGTAAAGCATTTCCCTTGGCTGACAGAAGTTAAAAAAAAAAAAAAAAGATGGTCTTGTTTTGTTTTGTGCGGCTCTCCCCTGCACTGCACAGGATTTTCATGCAAGAGGAAGCCTGGAATGTCTGTGTGAGAAAAGGGAGAAGAAGCAGTGACTGTTGGGCTCTAATTGAGGAGAAAATGCTGAGAGAAAGTAGTGCAGTAGTGTGAATGCAATAGCAACAACTAAACAAAAAAAGAAAATGAAAACCAGAAGTTTATTTCTGTGTCTCAGTAATCATAGTCATCTGTTAATAATTTGAGGTTAAAAATTCCACACAATGAAATTTTGAGATTGGAAAACATGTTCTTTAACCTCATATCATAGCAACAGGATGCCTGTCTAATTTGGCATGGTTTGAATTTATTATCTTCCCTGAAAAATTTATTTTAAAGTTATAAAATTATAAGCTTCAACATTCTATATGAAAAAAATATATGTAAGTAATCTTTTATGTATGGTGAGCTGTATTTTTTTATCATGTAGTTTGGAAAATGGATTAGCATGGGACGGATAATCTACAAAGTGAAAAATTAATAAGTACCTGATTTAGCTTTGCATTAGGCCAGGGAGGGGGGAAAGAAAGGAAAAATGTACAGTAGGCATGAAGAAATATTGAAATTCAAATTAGGTTTATATAGCATATATGGAAAATGACAATGAAATATAATGGCTATTGAAGACATTTCTTTTAGCAGTTTTAATATTTAGTAGCCCTGTTTTAACCAAATTTATAGCCATCATCTCCTGACCTAACTAAAGATCAGAATAGACTAAGCAATTGATGACCCTAAATTAATACCATGTAGTAATTTCTATAAATTAATTTCATACAGTATATTTGCAGAGCCTTGTATAAACTGGAGAATCACGGTAGTAAAAGCACTGTCACTCTCTGAACTAATAAAATCTCTGGTGACAGTGCATTCTTATGAGTGGAGGAAATTGGCATCAGTAAGGGAAGAAGAAAAACGCAATCAAAATCCAAAACAAACAGAGCAAAAGCCAAAGCCCAAAAAACCCCAAAACACCAACAGCAACAAGAAAAAGCAGTGAAAAAGTTTTTAAAGCAGGAGTGGATCAAAACGATCCTCTCACTCAGCCCACCAGTGTAATGAGGGCTTGGGAAGCCCAGGCCTTGCTGACACCTCTTCTCCTGCCTCATTTTTCACTTTTTGGCATGTGATATCAGCTGGCACATGCCTTCTGAGGGTGATGTGGGAGTATGACTACATCTAGTACAAGTAGCATCCCTTCCTTCCTGATACACAGTCCTGACTCCTTAGGGCTTTTCAACCTTCCCTGCATTAAAAGCTTTTCTGGCTGCTGTTTACATGAAGATTAATGGCTTAGGCATCTGGGAGGTCTGATTGAAATGTACAACAGGATCTCTGCAGGTATGTTTAGGAAGAAGCACACCTAGTCTTGTTAATAAGAATAAATTATCTGAAACTTTTTTGACTAAGTAAGATGAGAAGATTTTGCAATTTACCTAGATGTCTCAAATACCTAAAGAAAATGATATGGACTTATTATACTTTCATGCTGATAACCGGCAATGCTGAAAAGCTGCTGTGCCTTCACACAATACCCCTTTGGTACTATGGTCTCCTTTAATCATACCAACATGAAATTGGTTTCAACTGTGCCTCCAGCTATCAGAGGACAGTATTTAACTGTGACTTGTTGGTCTTGCTCTGTCTCTCTTCAGACCAACTGCTAGATTCAGTAAACTTGCATGAACTGGGCTCATGATGCCATGCAAGATATGACTAGCTGATAAGAGTCCAGCAAAACAAAGGACTCTGTTCTACTCTGCTATGTGTTTTACTCTGGGATAAGAAGAAAGGAATTTGGTATGTTTCTTCATTAAAACAGACTTTTCATCCTGCATTAGGCAAAACTCCAGGGAAACAACCTTTCCCCACCCTTAATTAATCCAGAGAGTGAACAGGAGGATGACTAGACAGATGGGACATAATTTGAGTATGGAAAAATTGTCATCATCCCTCTTTAATTAGTGTTATAGGATGGCTCTCTTCAGATATAAGTAGATATGACAAAGATGTGTTTCACATATTCAAGAGGGTAATTAAACTGCCACATGCTCAAACCAATATACATACAGATCTGATTAAAAAGCTGACTCTCTGAAAACAATGATGGATGAGGTTTTAATGCACATGGGTATTAGGAAAGCAGCAAGAAGGGATTGCTGTGAAATGAATTGCTGCAGTTCTTGTCTGTAGAGGGAAAAAGAAAAGGGAAAATATATTAAATTTAAAAGAGGGAAAGGCTATAAGGAGGAACTGAGGACACAAGAGGATGAATTCATGCTATATAGTTTATAAGAATGCTTTAATTATAAAAACAGAGGAGAGCAGGCAGGCTGTACCAGTCATCAAACCACCACGTACATCTCTGAATAGTTATGCAGTATGCACCATGCAGACTGTTTTTTCCCTTCTAGACCATATGGTTGCTCCTCAAGTATGTGTGGTAGGTTAGGAGTGTGTATTTCTGGAGATGAGTTTCAACACTTGCATAGAACCAGGGCAAAAGGAAACCTAGTCTTCGGTTGCTCTACCAGGGCAGGAAACTGTTTTTCTGGGTTTCTGGCCATTGTCTCTGCCTTGCTTTTGACAGTGTTTTTACCTACCAGTAAAACCTTTTTTTCACCACTTTAAAGTAAAATCAATGATTTTTTTTTTTTTAGTGTATGCAGCAACATTTTGCTGATTGAATTCTTGGTTTAGCCTGCTTTCCTCTGGTGAAATCCATGTGGACTCTTAGAGACAGTGCAAGAGTACATACAGAGACAAAGAAGCCTGCAGAACTTCCTAAGTTATCTATAGTTATCTAGTAGGTGTACATGACCCATACAGGTTTATTGGTTCATACAAGTTGATTTTATAAATCTCCCTTTATGAGACAAACCTTGAAGCTGTTTTGACATTTGTTCTCCAGCTACTGTCTCTGTATTGGCAGAATGGCTATTGCAACTCAAAATCATAGAAAAAACTCTAATTGCTCTGAGATAATATGAAATTGACATCTTTAAGCAACACTAAAAAAGTGGTGGAATGAGCTCGGTAGGCAACAAAATTAAGGCAAAAAAGGACTTAAATATATTCAGCGTTTCCTGTCAAAATATTGAATCAATCTATTTGCATGTGAGAAAGTCAGAAGAAAAACAAATGCCGGTTCTGTTGGTTAAGGGAAAGCTGGCATGCCAAGTTTGTGGCCAGTCATATTGTGTTCTATTTTCACTGTATCTGCTAAAATGGACACTGTATCAAAATAAGAAACGTGCATGGAATGTGATGGTGCAGTTGCTTTTATCTGTGAGATGTAAAAGGAGGCAAATGGTAAAATTTTTGCTCTTCCACAGGTGTTTCCTCATTCAGAACTCTTGAAGGTTTCAGCTTCAAATCTTATCTTTTCTCCTATGGTGAATCATGTTTCATTGTGCCACTTCACCTGATCATTTAATTTTTTTAAATTGAGGTGCTAGTTTGAAAGCAAACCACTGTGAGATCCCAAGTCACAGTTACAATTTAATAGGAAAATAGAAATAAATGCAATAAGACAGAAACACTGACAGAGTCAGGATACAACCTGACACCCTGTTGGTCAGGGTGGTGGCAGCAGTCCTGTTGAAATGATGGATGTAGTTCTGTTGAAGCAGTGATCCTGTAGAGGGTTTGGTCTTCCTCTGAAGGTCCAGTGGTGGTTATGGAGCTCTTGTCCCCTGAGAATTCAGTGTTTAAGGCTTCTTGTGGTGTTCCAAATATCTGATTATATCCACGTAGGAATGCTTGGCTCCTCCTTCCAGGCACAGCACCTCCCAGTGGGATGATGTAATTTTATCAGTCATGCAGTGAGACTCAATGGCCCATTAACAGAAGATATCTCCTGGTTGGGAGGATTGGTTGTGGAAGAGATAAAGAGAACTGATCCACCTGGTTTTAACAGATGGTGATAGAATACATACTTTTGGTTACATCTTACACTGTAGCCTAAGACAGGTCAATACCATGCTCAGTAGCAGATAAATATTTTTTTCCTGAAGATATTTAGCTTTACTTTTGACTTTGTACCTGCATCCCTGGCAGAGGGGTGCAGCTAATGGGCAATTTGACAGTGCAGCATAACTAGAAGTTTTCTCCATAACTGTATATTTTACTGGAAGACTATAGCTGTTCCCAGATTATTTTATTTTTTGCCCCTCCAAATTAGATATATAGTTACATTCTGAAGGCACAAATGGCCTGACACTTAATATAGCTGAACAAAACAGAAACCAGCATCCATTAAAAATGGAGCTAGGATTAAATATCTAAAGCAATATAGAAAATCCCTGGAACCTGCCTCAGATAGAAATTTCAACTCCAGACACTCAGCCAGCAGAATTGCCCTTTTATTTATTTCCTGACACTTTCATTATGATTTATTCTTTTCTATATAAATTATCCCTGTACCATACTCGGGGA